TGGGCACTGACAACAGAGAAGTGAACCACCAATCAGTAGTAACCCTGCTGCACCCCAGCCCACGTACAAACAGGCACCCAGCTCTCTCCTCTGAGCATCTGGAACCATGGGGTTGTAAAAGTCCTTTATGATGGTATTAGCAGGCAGCGATACAGTCACAAGACACAGAGCCCCACTCAGGATGAAGAAAAAGCCTGCAGAGATAGCAACTCTGGCTTTTGCCATTTTGTCCCCAACACAGGTGGTGCATTTACCTCCAACCACAGAAAGCAGCAGGCCAAACAAAGAAAACAGGATGGAGATGACAATCATGGCTCGAGCTGCCTGGAGGTCTGGAGGCAGGGCCAACAGGGAATCGTAGACCTTGCACTGCATCTGGCCGGTGCTTTGCACCACACAGCTCATCCAGAGTCCTTCCCAGATGGTTTGAGCCACCACAATGTTATTTCCAATGAAAGCAGATACCTTCCACAAGGGCAGCATGCAGATCAGTATGTTTCCAATCCATCCAAGCACAGCCAGCCCAACACCCAGAATCTGCAACCCTAAAGAAGGCATAACAGCTTTTTCCCCCCCTTTTTTAGACGAGTCAGTTCTTTGCAGGGTTTCCAAATAAGAGTCCACTCTCAGCAGAAGTTTTATATGACCTACAAATCCCCCCAGAATACAGCCCTCCTCTGGGTGGGCTCTGGCTCCACTGCATCAATCACGCTCCATTTGATTTCAGAGGTTTTCTTAACAACAAAGAGGCCCACTTGTCCCCAAACAGAGCCCAGAGAAAGAAAAGAAGCTTTAACAGTGCAAATCAAGGGGGAATCATTTTTAATTAATTTTAAATATATGGAATGATGCACAAACCCAACCACATCATGTTAGGTTTAATAAAAAAAAATTCAAATGTCTGAGCAGCGACTCTAAAGAAGGGTAAACATTTTTATTGCCTCTGGAGAAAGAAAGTAAGAAATCCCACAATCATAAAAAAGTAGTAAGTTTGATTTGGTTAAAAATATCAAAACTATTAAAACCCATTACCTGATAAGATAGGCTCATTAAAAGAGAAACCAACCATACCAAGGAGGATCACAGGTTGAGAAACAACCAACGTGGTGCATGTCTAATTTAATACTGTTTGTTTCTTTTGTTTTTTCCCCCCAAGCCAATGCCTCACACCTAATTACCACAGGTGGACTCACTCAGCTTGATTGCTGCACTGGTAAAAGAAAATGAAATCAGATGTAAAACCAAAAGCAATCATTATGATCTCATATTGTTACACGAGATACTAAAGTCAATATTAAAATGCAATCTTTAAAATCACTCTTCTTCTCATTGTTATGTTCTTGGTAAACTTTTGTCTGAGTGAAATCATAGCCTCACAAAAAACACCCACAAAAAATAATGAAAAAGACATCAATTTAGGTGGAAGATTTTTATTCTAAACATTCTTTTCATTTCAGTTTTCACAGCACTTTTGCAAACATTCATCCATTTTCTTATTGGCTTATCATAAGAAAATGGGTTGGAGGGGATCTGGGACATATGCCAGCTATCACTGGGCAGGAGGTCAGTCCTAATGACCACAGGTGTTTTCACTTTGAACACTTCTGAATAACCAATCAGGAGAAACCACGAGCCCCCCATGTGGATATAAAAGCTGCAGTTGAGGCAGTCATGTTGTCTTGTTGTGTTTCCAGTTGATTCTTTCTCACAGCTCTCTGTTGCACCAGAAAAGACAGTATGGCATCTGCAGAACTTCAGATTTTGGGCATCATTTTGGCAGTGATTGGCTTTTCTGGGGACATAATTACCTGTGCTTTGCCATTGTGGAAGGTGTCTGCTTTCATTGGAAACAACATCGTGACAGCACAAGTTTTCTGGGAGGGCCTCTGGATGAACTGTGTAATGCAGAGCACCGGCCAGATGCAGTGCAAGGTCTACGATTCCATGCTCGCTCTTCCTCAAGACCTGCAGGCAGCCCGTGCTCTGGTTGTGATCTCCATCTTGGTCACCCTAATGGGACTCCTGCTTGCCATCGCAGGCGGAAAGTGCACCAACTGCATTGAAGAGGAGACTGCCAAGAGTAAGGTGGCCATTGCTGCAGGGGTGGTGTTCATTGTTGGTGGCATCCTGTGCCTCATCCCTGTATCCTGGTCTGCTAATGAGGTCATCAGGAACTTCTACAACCCAATCATGTCTGACGGACAGAGGAGAGAGCTTGGAGCATCGCTGTTCATTGGCTGGGCTTCATCTGGACTCCTGATCATTGGAGGTGCACTCCTTTGTTGTCAGTGCAAGCAGCCTAAAGATGGTGGATACTCTGTCAAATACTCTGCTCCACGCTCTGCAACAGGTGGTGGAGCATATGTTTAAATGTCTGCAAGAGGTTGGAACGGCTGTAGACTGTCACCCTCAAGAGAAATGGACTAGGCTGTTTTTATGGACTAAATATTTAGGTGCTTTTACTTTACTTTTAATTTAATAAAACTCTTTTCACTAACTTGACTATGGTTGCGTTTTTCTTTTCCCCCTATTTTTATTTTTTAATATTATAAATTTAAACTTTGCTCTAGTGGAGGGTTTCAATGAGTAAAAGCTAAAAGGCTGCTTTTGTAGACTGCACTTTCTAGCAAACATGGTAGACTTTACACTCCAGGTCACAACTAAAACGCAAACTCTAGGAATCTAGAGAAGGCAGCTAACTGCGTGAAAATTGTCTTGCAGAATTTAAACTAAAAGGCAACAAATGCCAAACCAGAATCAGCAAAAACTCATGAGGTGCACTTGAATTGATATTGTATTTGAAGGGGGGGCAGTAGTACAAAATAAGCTAAAAATCTATCTGGCCCGTCTGACATACAACTGGTATGTTTGATGCTGGAGTGTTTGGTCTGCTTTTAATTGCTGGTTGCTAGGTAACATGTCATGTAATGAAGGCTTTGTGGCTACAGGTTCGAATATTGTGCTTTGGGACTTTATGTGATTGGTGCATAAAGTCCCAAATGGACAATTTTACCTTGTTGGTATGTGGTTACTAGGCGACATCCCATCTGATATAGATTTAAAAAAAAAAATCTTCAGGGGCCTGTGATGTATCTGTCTGCCAGTTTTGCTTGCTGACTTGATTTTGTAAAAAGAGGTCATGAGCTAACATAGGCTTTGTTTATTTAGTAAGATTAAAACATTTAAGTGCAAAGAAATATTCATAAAAATGCATCAGTAATTTGATACTGGTCTAGTTTTTCATGCATTCTGGTAATATGTGAAAGTACTTTAAAATACAAGAAGTATACCTCATGAACTCTGCTCATTTAAACCAGCAATATAGAGACTGCAATCTGTTTATCCTTTGTAATGACAAAGCAAGTTTTTATACACGATTGCTTCTGTTAATGGCCTTCTACTAGTTTTTCAGGTCAAGCAGGAATCAAGACAAACAGGAAACTTGCCACAGAACACAGAGTCCCCTCCCTGTTGCCTTTCTCATACCTGAGGAGCAAAACAAAGCAAAACCCAACCAGCAGCATTTACAGACAACTGGAAGTAAAAATGATCTTAAACTCAACTGGAGGTTGATTCTGATGTTTTTTTTGCTTTTTTTACTTTAAATATAGACTTTATTTTCTGAAAACATGAAGACTCAGATCGTTGGTGTGTGTTTGGCAATCCTCGGTTTTCTTGGCACCATCCTCATCTGCGCACTGCCCATGTGGAAGGTGTCGGCATTTATACAGTCAAACATCATCACTGCTCAGGTGTTTTGGGAAGGCTTATGGATGAACTGTGTGTTCCAGAGCACGGGTCAGTCACAATGCAAAAACTATGACTCGGTTTTGGCTTTACCACAAGAGCTGCAAGCCTCCAGGGCTCTAATCTGCGTGTCTATTGCTGTCAGCGTGGTGGCCATCGGGCTCACAGTGGTTGGAGCTCGATGCACTTCTTTCTTTGATTATGACCAACTGACCAAATCCAATGCCGGCATTGCAGGAGGTGTGGTGTTTATCATAGCAGGGATCGTGTGTATTATTCCTGTCACCTGGTCGGCTTACAGCATCATCACAGGGTTTTATAATCCTGTGGCCACAACAGGAAGTCAAGGAGAGCTGGGAGCTTCTATATATTTGGGATGGGTATCTGGAGCACTCCTTGTCATTGGAGGAATTACTTTGTGCACCACCTACAGATGCTGTAGAGGATGAGAGAACATGCCGTAGAACATCCAATACATGCTGCAGTTAACAATTCACAAGACAATGTGTGCACTCTCAAAGACTTTTTTTGTTTTGGGCTTTGAACTTCTATTTTCATCATTTTTGTCAACCTGTAATTGCACAATATTGAAATTTTACAACAAATCATAATGAAATGTGACACATTAATATAGTAAATTGCATGTATAATTATGTATTTTAATATTTTTAAAGAGCTACAAGGAAAATGAAGTCTGTTTGAGCTGCTCTTAGATTGTAAGTATGTTGCATATGATAATAAAAAATGTTTACTGAAAAAATGTCCGATATGCTGTGTAGAGCACATGTTTTAAAAATTTTAATGAATAGTATTTGTTTAAGGCTCATAATCTTACGCAATATTTGTATTACTGCATGTGTGAAAAAGTCTTTTTATACTTTTATACTTTCAGTGAATTTCAGTGATAGTTTTAGTGGAAGTTAGACAAAATGAAGTAAACCAGTCAGCTACAGAAAAATAAGCTATTACCGTTTATTAAAAAATTAGGTAAAAATAGGTATGAATTCAGTGGTAGACTTTGTAACATTTTTAAACTATGTGTTCTTCATTGTTTGTGCATGTTGTACTCTGTAAATGAAAAAAAAAAACCTTTGTGTATTTGTATCTTAACAAAAATAAAAAATTCACTGTATATTTGTACTTTGGATGACAATTTATTTATTTTTTGTCTTTTTATTTCTATTTTGTAAAACTGCTAATTGCACTTAGGACTGTTCGATATGACGATATATATCGGATAACGATATGAAAACATCTATAGTTTAATATTATACGCTATCATTTGTTTCATGGTATCGCAAAATAAACTGTTTACGGCAATATTTTTGTTTTTGATGGTCCACGTAGTGGCTACATTAACTTCTTAAAGCTCTCTTTTTTTCTTATATTTAAATAACCACACTACAGACGGATAAGCGACTGTTTTTATGCATTGGTTTGTTAGCAACAACAATGGTAAACTCAGCGTGGAGCTCCGCCGTCCGCTTATTTATTTTCCACATGAACCTTTCACAATAAAGCTGAAGATCCTGTTGAGATTTTTCAAAATAAACTGAAATGATGACAAAATGCATTATTCTCAAACATTAAATTTCAGAATATGAAGATGAAACATTCACCGTACCAATTCTTCTTTTATGTTGCTCTATGTAGTAGATATACTGGTGCAGTTCTGTTGTTGAAACTAGAATGTATCCCATGATGTTCATGCTCAAAGCTAGTTGGCCTGAAACTTGCAAAATATTGACGATATGAATATGAATAAAACGTTTTTGCTTTGGCTTCAGTTAAACATACTGTAATAAGTTGTCTGATCTGATTTTTATTTCCAAAGACCCCCTGCTTGATGGTTAGTCAGTTAAATTGCAATAGTAAAAGGTCTCATTTTGTGTAACAACTTATAAAAAAAAA